AATATTTATTTATTTAATTTATATATAAATTTAATAAAATAGAAAATTTTTAGTTTGTATCTTTGATATTTGCTTTCTGAAGCCAGAATTATAATTTTGGTGAATAAAAGAAAAAATAATAAAATTGACTAAATAATTATCTTATTTGAATGAATTAGATTTATTAGAATTTTATATGATAATAAATAGTAGTAATAATTGAAAAAATGAAATAAATGCTACATTAATGTATATAACATTTTACATAAAATAAATGATATATCTTTAGAACTTCAATGAATTAAATGAATTTGAAAAATGGATACAATTATTTATTAGTGGCAATCTGCAAATTTTTCCAATTCATATGTAATATGGGTTGAATTAAAAAATAAGCCACATAACAATGAGTGAGTTTCAGACAGGACCAAGGAAAGGGCTGAGATTGAGATTTTATCATGGGCCCAGAGAAAACCTAGAGTCTCCCAATTGTTCCTCCTCTATAAACTTAATGTTATTTCTTACTAACAGAAGATAAAATCTTTAAGACTTTTGCTTTTTGTAATAATAATACTTGTATCTACAATCAAAATGTACACATGAAAGATTACAATGCAAAATTAAATTATTATTATTAGTCTATTATAATTAAAACTTACAGTTAAAATATTATCATAATTTCAATGATTTAACCATATAATTTTTCTAAATTTTCAACACACTTCAAAACTTTATATAAATTCATTACAATAAGCATTTTGAAATATTTGGTATTAAGTTTTTACTCATAACTGATGTTATACAAATAATGTTATTTATATATGCATAAGTTAATTATTATATTGAAAATTTGTGATCATTATCATTAATAATNTTAGATATATATATATGTGAAGCAATTTGAGCCAATGAGCCGCCATGTTTAGTCCCGATGTTAACACTGTATTCGTTAAGTACTGCGTATCGTGTTATTTTATTTAAAAAAAGTATTTTTTTGGATCATATAAGATAAAATTCAATTGACAAATAAGCGTTCTAAAATAGAAACTGTAAATGCAATATTGTAAAAAGGACTAAATATGGCGATTATAGCCCAAAAAAATTACCAACATTGCCATCTGGTAACAAATTTAAAAACTAATTACTGGTTTTAAGAAGAATAGAAGTACAAAATTAGGATTATAAATTTTACTTTTTCTTGAAACTGAAAAATTAAATACCTTCATCTACATCTTCCTCTGTAATATAAGAAACGTTAATTTTATTACATTTATATATAATAAATATATATAACATATACAAAAATATGGATTAAAAAATTACCTGTATCGCGTTCGACTCGCATTTCTGAAAATAAAATAAATAAGTTAATTAACACTTTCTTTTAAGTAAAAAAATTAAATTTAGGGCTTTTTTGGGTTCCGAATCCAAAGAGGCTCTAAATGATTTTGCTGATTCTTTTTCTCCTTGATTCTGTAATGCCGGCTCAGACGTCAGTTTTTCAAGCCTCAGAGGGGCTTCGCACTTTCAAATTTCTAAGGAAATTTTGCAAATATTTTGAAGCCCCAATAATAACTTATTCCCGACCCACAAAACCTCCTGTGTATATACATATACAGGACCGTGCCGTGCTATGATGCAGAGATGCGGTCGCATCGGGCTGCACCGTAATGGGGTCTCATAAGCATCATTTAAGGTGTGGCATAAGCGGCATTTCGAAGACTGGCATCATATTGAGAAAANAGCATATCGACATTATTATTAATTAATCAAAAGACCTTAATGATTTTAATGTATTTAAAAAAATATATTACTTACCAAGAGAGAAAACCACGACTAAGCAAAGAGCGATGCAAAACACTTTCATCTTTGAATGTTTAAGAATTGAACCTAATGTTGAAGATTGATACGTTTAATGATTACGTTATCCGGTAACGTCTTATACAAATATATAAACTTACTTCTGAACGTTCCTGAATTAACTGATGAAATTTTTATATTATTTACGAATTTATATCCTTTTTCTAATTATATAAATGCGCATGATCAGAGTTTTTTTTTTTCTTACACGTTGCATACTATTTTTTCTGTATTAATTTCTGGACGGAAGCTGTATTTTGCAGATAAAAGTTCTGCTAAGTTTCCTTATAGTTTGATAAAGGCCAATTAAATGTTAATAGGAATTTCATAAAATGATAAAATTTCGTGAAATTTTATAATAATTAATAATTAAGAAATATTTATTTATTTATTTTTTTGTATAATCGGCGAATTCTTTATTGTAATAAAAGTTTTATTCATATAATACATCCATCTATAACGTTGAAAATTAACATTACAACATTGAATATAAGTTATATCTATACATTTATATGAATATATTTTTGATGATTATATTCTATTAAATAAAAAAATATGTAAAAGTGTATATATTTATATACAGTGGAACCTCTAATTGACGTTTCGGAGTAGCAGAATTTAACCTAAAATTGAGGCGTACGGGTTTATGGAGCAATAGAAGTTGGGACAATTAAAAATTTTAAGGTCTGTGACGAATTATCTTAAGTATAAAAATGCTTGAAACAGATGAGAATGAAAGATCATTGATTCAAGAGCTATGAAACATTTACTTATATGATAATTCACACACACACACACACACACACAATAACAGATAAGACCAAATTGATACTAGATAACTTTAGCTTAAATTCAGTAATTTCTTTAAGGTTAAGATTTGTATAGCACATTTTCTTGTTATCTGAACTCAGTATTACGTAATTAAGTGGCACTGGTCATCTTAAGAAACACAATAAATTTATAAGCATATTTTCCGAAATTNAATTCTTTATTGTAATAAAAGTTTTATTCATATAATACATCCATCTATAACGTTGAAAATTAACATTACAACATTGAATATAAGTTATATCTATACATTTATATGAATATATTTTTGATGATTATATTCTATTAAATAAAAAAATATGTAAAAGTGTATATATTTATATACAGTGGAACCTCTAATTGACGTTTCGGAGTAGCAGAATTTAACCTAAAATTGAGGCGTACGGGTTTATGGAGCAATAGAAGTTGGGACAATTAAAAATTTTAAGGTCTGTGACGAATTATCTTAAGTATAAAAATGCTTGAAACAGATGAGAATGAAAGATCATTGATTCAAGAGCTATGAAACATTTACTTATATGATAATTCACACACACACACACACACACACAATAACAGATAAGACCAAATTGATACTAGATAACTTTAGCTTAAATTCAGTAATTTCTTTAAGGTTAAGATTTGTATAGCACATTTTCTTGTTATCTGAACTCAGTATTACGTAATTAAGTGGCACTGGTCATCTTAAGAAACACAATAAATTTATAAGCATATTTTCCGAAATTTACCGCTCTGTATATAACAAATTGTCATTTGCATCTGCAGAACATCTAAAGATTAGAATGATAATAATAGAGAGATCGCAACCGAAGTTTTCATCTCTCAAACGTGAACGTCGAACGTCGAGCACCGCTTACAAGATAGCGGCGCTCGACGTTCGACGTTCACGTTTGAGAGATGAAAACTTCGGCCGCAACCTCTCTAATATTTTTCCTTCAGTGGCTAATCTCTTTCGCAAAATTGTTTTCCATATGTATTCAAGAACAAAATAATCAATAAAATAGTCTCAATTTATGCTTTACTTTTTGACTCATTCCGTCCTAAAGGAACCAAGAGTGGCTTTTTTCAGGTTCATCGTGTGTTCGGCCAGTCCCACAATTGAGGGATGGAACCAATATTTTTGTTTGAAGTTATTTATTAACACTAGATTTGTGCTGGTCATTTATTTAACACCTTACACGGGAAAGAGCTTTCACTGATAATATGTAATAACTATCACTACAGAATGGTCCCTAAGTCAGTTAACCATTTTAAAGTAAAATTATTAATAGTAACTATATTAAAATTAAGTCTAACAACGAGTTGCGTAACTTTTCCGGCTGTTATGAGGTTTTATTTTTAAAAAATAACTTCTATATTATAAATATTAATCATAGTAAATACTGTAAATAAAATTTTGTATGGTGTCATCTATTATGAGATTTTGTTATCAAAACTTTCTGTATTTCTAATTATTATAAAATAACAAAACATTCAATTTTCAGGGTGGAGATGAGTTTTATACGTGTATATATATATATATATATATAAACTATAAATGCTAACAATTAAGTCTGACCCCAGTCGAGATATAACAAGTGAATACCCTCTATCTGTTCACCACTTCAACTTTTCATTATCAAAATTTAATAGCATCAATTATCTTTATACACAAGCTACTGGGCCATATTTAGTTAATTAATCTTTACTCCATCCTGAGATGTTAAACGAAATAGATGCCAATACACACACGCACACACAAAACTACTAATTTTTGGGCCATCCTATAAAACATATACATATATAAATTTGTCTGATATTCTCTTATTAATCTTAACTTTATACGTAAAATATTCTGAAAAAATATTATCTTTTATTTTATAATTAAATAATGTATTAGGATATTATATTTAATGGGTTTATATTTTGTAACACATTTCATTTATAACCCTTAACTAAATAATTTATATGGACTACACAAAGGAACACATACTGAATTAGATAAGATAAAATATTTAATAATACACCTTAATAAAGGAAATTCTTAATTAAACCATCCTGTATTTCTGGTTTGTATCTACAAAGACGGAAATTGAAACCACGTGATTTCCGTGTTTGTGCTTAGATTTTTAACTATTAGGATTAAAATTTAATAAGCTATATAATTAAAACGAAAATTATTATATTTGATGAATAATTTAATAAATGAAAATTAATTAGACATTACAATATATTTCTAATTAATTACATTGAGACNTTACAGTCGACTCCCCTATAACACTGTTGATAATTTCGTTTTATATGAGTTCCATATTGTACGAGTCACTTAGATTTTACAAATACGTGAGCCGCTCACAGCCCGGCACACGTATTTGTAAAATCTAAGTGACTCGTACAACATGAAATTCACATAAAACGGAATTATAAACAGAGTTATAGGGGTTCGACAGTACAGTAATTGCTTTTTGATTTCTGTTTAAAGTAAAAACTATGTTGTACGAGTCACTTAGATTTTACAAATACGCAAGCCGTTCACAGCCCGGCACACGTATTTGTAAAATCTAAGTGACTCGTACAACATGAAATTCACATAAAACGGAATTATCAACAGTGTTATAGGGGTTCGACAGTACAGTAATTGCTTTTTGATTTCTGTTTAAAGTAAAAACTATGATGTACAAGGGAAAGCCATTACTAATTTGAGGTGGAGAGCATATATTTTAAAACTATTATTATTTAATTTTTTCATATGTACAATAACAACGTGGTTATATTTAAATGACAATCACACCAAAGGTCGTAGGTTGCCACATTGATATTCTTCATTTTCCCCCCCTTCAAAATGGGTGCATTGCTGAAGTATACACATCGTTGCTTGATATTTGTTTTGTACTATAATTTTTTTTATTACAACTGAAGAGATTATTTAAGTCCGAAATGTTCATTTTGGAGGTAAAAAGAGAATGAAGCATATCAATGTATTAACCTACGACCTTTGATGCGATTGTCCTTTAAATATAACCACGTTGTTATTGTGTATATAAATAAATAAATCATAGAACAAAGAGTTTTACTGTATTATTCTTTAAAGCTTTATTGGATTAAAAATCTAGACTACCTCTTAGTACTCTTAGAGCAAAAAGAGATTTATAATCTTTCCTATAAGTCTTTATAAAAAGAAAAAAATAGAGCATAAAAAAAACCATTTTTTAAAAATGTTAGGAGTTGAGCCACCCACATATATAATCAATAAAATGTATTTACATATATACATCTAAAATATCATTTACAAGTGATATTACTTTAGAAAATTTAAGAGACTGGGTGTGGGGTGGCCCACTTCATCCTCAGAACAATATATTTACACACACACACCTAAAATATCCATATCTAATTGATATTACTGATTAAATTCTATATTCAATTATGTTTATAGGGTTTCGGGCTGGGGAAGATGATAAACTGGGGGCTACCCCTAAAGCATCATTAAAATGTAGTCATTGAACTTAGATTTGTCCAGAGTTTCAGCTTTGTTTTTTAATTAGGAGTGGATTAAATTTGAAATTTGAGTTGCAAGATTTGAAGATATACGATTCAAAGTAAGTTTAAAGCGTTTGAAATAATAATAATAAAATAAAAGTTGATTATAAAGCATTGTTTTTAATATGATTAATACTTGCTTTTTAAAGTAAGGATACAATATGCAACATCCTATAAATTAAAAGCGAATTTAAAAAGAGAAAACATACAAAGATTTCAAGAGAGTCAATGATGCCGATTACTTCAGGCAGAATAAATCTTAAAGGTAAACAAACGTCGATTTCCAAAAGTTGCGATTGAATAGATACTGTTAAGAAAAAAATTTGGTGCAATATATCTGTAGAAGATTCGGATTTTTTGATGTTGAATATACCGCAGCAAACCGTATAGAATGGAAGATATTTGCTGCACTATAATATTCAACTGTAATTAACGACATACAACGTTTGCACTTTAAAAAGTATACAGTATGTGTTATGATAATAATTTTTAAGGAAACGAAACTGAAAAAGAAAAAAAGAAATAGTTG